GCACGCTGTGACATTATTAATATGAAATTTAACTTAAACTATCAACCATTTGGCACAGATGGGAAAAAGGTGTCCTTTTCACATATATTTTTTTTTCTGTTGCTCTAGTTACAAGTAAAAATATATTTTGCAATTTTTAATTCTAAAACTGAACAGTCTATTAGTCACTAAAAAAATTTGTTAGCTTATCGAAATTATATTTGTACTAAAATATAAAATCCAAAAAAAGTAGTTTGAATTTCCTCCCCCATTCATATTCAAACATTTATTAATGTTTGATTTTGTAAAAAGAAATTTCAATGAGAAATTACTGTTTCTTAGATCTAAATAACTGCAATTATTGTTTGGAAGTGAGCCGTGTTTAGAATATTTAACCGTTAACACTGGTGTTTCGTGCTGTATTTCATAACCTTAAATAATTAAAATGTTAAGTATAATACACTGATGTAAGAAATCAAGAGAATTTGCACACTTGGTGGATTATCTCTAGAACTACTGAGCCGATTTTAATGAAATTTGAAATGGACATACATTGATACAATACAAAACAAATAACTGTTCAACAATTGTAATACACACATGCTTGATTGTGCGTAACACTCGTTGGAATCGGAAGGTATGAAACAGCGGTTGCAGGAATAAACAAAAAAAAAAAAAAAANTGTAAAAAAAAAAAAAAAAAAAAATGGTTGATAGGGTGTATGGTACCCACTTACACACAAACAGGTGTTGCAACGTGACTTCATACTTGAAATAAAACAGTTTATCATTTCCTGTGACAATTGTCCTGTGCCAATTTCATATCTTCCGACTCCAACGATTGTTACTCGCGATCATGCGTGTGTATTACAATTGATGAATGGTTATTTGCTTTGTATTGTATCAATGCATGTACACATCGAATTTCATTAAAATCGATCCAGAAGTTCTAGAGATAATCGACAAAGTCTGTAAATTCTCTTAATTTCTTGTATTTCTCGCTTATTTTCACCCAAATTATTAAAAAATAATGAAAAAAGTATGAAAAATATGTTCAGTGAAAATTCTGCGTCGAAAGGTTGACGGCAGTATCAATTTAACTGAAACTTCACATGGTGTTCCACCTTAAAAAAAATATTTAATGAACTATTTCTTGTGTGCGTAACAAATATTTCCTTTCTTCGTAGAACGATTTCTCCTGGTAGAAGTTGAGATGAAAGATAGTATGACCAAACCTCCAGCAGTAATACGATGAGAATAACTCGAACATTATTCCAAACAAAATAATCATGGCTTCTTCAAGACATTTGCTCAAATGCTTACCAATGATTTGCTCTTCAACTCCTCGATTCGGCACATTAAATTCCAAAGTGAAACTTAGTGAAATTCCGGATATTTGCACAAGAGAGGATTGGAGTGAGGCTATTAATGAAAGTCGTATGCTATTACAAAAGTATCCAATCAAACCATCATTTGTGAATCGAGGAATGGGACGAATATCTCTACAAACAGTTGTAAAAAGAATGGAAGAAATTTCTCAAAATAACAACAACTACTTGATAAATACATTTAAGTAAGTAATATTTTTTTTTATTTTGATGATAAGAATGTTCTATTTGTGAAAGTAACAATTTAACATTGAATGAAATGTTTAAAATGTCACCTGTCTCGTAAGTTTTGAACCTAGCGTTAAGATATAATAAAAAAATATATCGTACCATTTGTTAGTATCAGTTAGCCCGAATCTCAAGTTTCTGAATGACAGCAGCGGTGCCCCAGGGGACAGAGCGTTAACCTCCCAATGACGTAACCCAGGTTCGAATCCGAGCGGTGGTTGGTGGATCCGAATTTACGACCACAGAGCTGACGCAAAATATTCTCAATGGCAGACGGCTGATGGGCTAAAATTTCCCTGTCGTCGAGTTAACCGTGGTTTTTTTTCTTGGTTCTCTTCTTCGTGTAACGCAAATGCGAGCTAGTTCCATCCTGGTTTGTCCCAATGCTTGATCCAGGAGTTACTTTATCTTTTGAGTAGGGTTCAAAATTACAAGGCTACGGAGTTGAACATTGAAAGTCGTAAACACAGGATTGGGTCAGCATTCCAGGGCCGGTAATAAAATAAAAGTGCTTCTGAATGAGAGTTAAATCAGCACAAATATACGATGACTTCTTTGGTAGAAGTCGAGTCGTCTGTTCATGAAGGTCGCTGACATTTAGAGCACTCTCGCTATGTTCGAATAACCGAATGAGCCGCGATGGCACAGTGGTTAAAGCACTGAACTGTTATTGGAAAGAGTTGGGATTCGATCTCCAGTCGCAGCTTTAGATCGAAGGGTACCAACTTGTCCGGAGGCCTGTGCGCAGTGCTAACCACATTGCCACAATCTTACCGTTGATCACGAAATTGCGGTGCCTTAACTTCTATGACCTACAATGGGCTGTTGCGGGAAACCGAATGGTTCAGTTTTTGAAAGTAAACGCGCTCCCTAGTTTTTTCTTTTTTTTTTGGTTGAGTGGGAGAATTAAAACAGACAGGTACAATAATTTCCAAGGAATGAGCTTAGCAATAAAATGACGTATTAGAGTTCCTTTCTATAGATTTACAAGATCTCCAGAAAATGCTTGATATCTATACTTCTCTGTCAGTTTGAATATAATGATTATCTATTTCAGACAGCTTCTCAGCAATACAGATGATACAGCCAATGAGCTGCGATGGCCAGGCTTGGTCACTCTGATGCTCGCCAAATCCATTGGCTATCCGTTTGAGGCAGATAATTTTGTCAGTAAATCACTGGAAGATGTCATTTGGTCCTCACAAGTAACCCTTGCAGAAATCATCAACCTGCTCCACTGCAATCTTGTGTTTAGAAAGGAAATTTTTCGGCTTTCTTTAACAAAGAAAATTTCAAAGAATTCGGGAATCGAGAAAGAGTTGGACAAAATGGTGTACAACTATCTCACATCAATCGTTCTTTACAAAGCTTCAGTTCTGAATAATTACAAGGTAAACATTTTCTGTGATGGAAAGAAATTAATGTTTGGTGACGATAAAATCGATCATTGTAAACAAAACATTTAGAAATCTGTCATGGTTTCATCTTCGTTTATACAGCAATTAAGATTACTCAAAGGTTATAACTTTTAAAAAGCTAATATCCTTAATAGCATGCATATAATTATATCAAAATAAGAACAAAAAATTGCTCTTATTGTTTACTAATTTCATAAGGGAACATTTTGCGGTGCATGGGGAAATGTTTTTTCTATATAATCTATTAAAAGGAAATTTTTATCATATTCCTTTCAATATTACAAGGTAACCAAGAAAAAATTTATAAAATTCTTTAATTTTCCTGTCGATATCAAATTCTGTACGCAGATTGCTAAGCAACGGGCTTGTTTGAATGTAGAGTATTTCCTTGTAGCGAAAATTCGATTACTAAGTAACCAAAAGGTCTTAAGATTATGACGTTTCTTTCCTTCACACTGTATATACCTGTAAGTTTAAAACACACATAAATGCTATTAAAAAACTTAAGTAAATTCAATAAAATAGAATAAATTATAAAGCACTCCATTAGCAGATATCGCCAAAGTATATATACTATTTATAAAAACTATAAGAGTTTTTGAAACCCGTGTAACTCATCTGTTTCTTTACCGATTTAGCATAACACTCTTTTCTAAAGAAGATAGTAAAGTTTTTATTCTTTACCGATCAAAATACCTTTATCAGTGGTCTTGCTAAAGAACTGAAAAGATATTTTGTTTCTGTTAACTACATGATTTGTAATCTAACTCATTGTTTTTCAACTTAACTTCCAAGTATGAATGTATAAAGTTATTTATGACAAAAAAGTTACATATTGTTAACAAATAAAATTACTTCTTATTTATTACTTCTAATTGTCGCACACACTGTATTCCTGAGTTTAAATTTTTTCCAAGTACAGTTGATTGTTCTTCATATCCAGATATCCTTACATTCATTAATAAAATTTACTTACATAAAATTTCAATAATTATATATTTAATAAATAAAATAATTTTTTTTAAAATCGACTTTAAAGGAAAAAGAACAATGATGAATGAAAAGAAACTACGGAGTCTCCCAGTACGTTATAAAAAAAATAACTATTTTACTTTAAAAATTATATGTTAGTTTAGGTGGTGCAACTAATAGCTGACATATTGGAATGTTTAGTCAAGACAAGACAATCAAGCACTACAAACATTCTTTTGAAAAATCTAAAAGAATGGGAATACAACACATTTCACTCTCAAGGATTACTCTTAGCTTCTGGGTGCCAGGCTACACTGCAGCTTGCTGGTTACGATGAAACATCACAGAAAATGGCATTTACATTTGGAATGAACTTTGCATTTGCTATTAAAGTAAGTTGATAAATTATAAACAACGCATTTTGTTTTGATTTCAAAAGATATTCTGCACGCTTCAGATTTATTTTGATTTCTTCAAAATAAGGGAAAGTGCTCATTCTAGAAGAAGTCTTTTAAGTTGTAGATTAATTGATTAGTGACAATCATAGCTTTTGAATGAAAACTGTTCCCTAAAGTTTGATTTAAACTATACTGGCAGGAACAAATGTTAATAATTTTCCTTGTATCAATATATATACCTATGATATATAATAATGAAACAGTCACACACACTTAGAAAAAATAAATCCACAGTTTCTCAAGACTGATTTTATAAAATTTCCCTAATTTTTGAGCCATGTACAATCAATTTCATTATAATTTTGTGATTTATGCATTATTCTTAAACATAAAATGCATTTCAAATTACACTATACATGCCATTAGGATAAAAAAAAATATTCCAAGAGAAAGTTATCTTGAAAAAAATATTCCAGATAGGTTGGTTTTAAGGTCAGCAATGAAGTTCATAAAAGATTAGCAAATAAACCATGCAAGCTTGAAACAATGCTAAATTCAATTATGCTAGTTAATGCACTATACCAGGGGTGGCTAAGCTCCTTGATAGTCGAGCCATTGCTGTCTTCTGGATTAGGTTTAAAATTATAAGGCTACGGAGTTGAACATTAATAGTTGTAAACTCAGCATTGGGTGCTCAAAGCTCATTATAAAATGAAATAAAAATGGAATATTTTTCACCATAATAAAATATTGATTTTTTGAATTTTGTTAGGCTCATGCAGAAATACAACAACACTGGAATTATCAGAACTCTCGCAGTTCAACGATAAATATTTCAAGCTTTCCCATTGCTCTCCACTTGCAAAACCACCCGGAAACTTTACCTTTTGTGTATAGCCGTAATGAGATATTTGATAACTCAGACATTGACATGGTAAGCGTTAAAATTAATCTTTATTTAAATATAAACTTTCATTTGGTTCAACTATACATGTTTTTTTTATTATCTGTTGCAGTTACATACAATTCTTCAAACAAATTCTGCAATGAGAGATGCAAAAATGCAGCTAGAAATTTACATAAAGAAGGCACTTAGCATTTTACAGCAGTTGCAGAAATCTGGAAATGATGATGTCACAGTAAACTTGATAAAACTTGTAAACACTTTATGTAACATAAATGAGTTTTAAGCAATCTTGAAACTAGCCACAATATTATAACTTAATTGAAAATGTCAATAAGAAACAAATTTCAAGCAGAATGATAAAAAAAAAAAAAACTTTTTAAAAATTAAGCTTGAATTGTAATTCATTCGAACAAACTTCAACAGATTCTCTATAAAGATTAAAAATTGTAAAAAAGCAGGATCATTTTTAGTACATTTTCAGAAATATTTCTTAAAACCTTTTATTAATTTATATTTTGCTTAGTAATAAAAAATTAATGTTATGCAGAAAATAAGTTTTTTTACGTTATGAGAAGCTTCCAGTAAAGCTTCTCAGGACACTAATCTTTTATTTAATTGAAGAGAATGGAACAGAAAATATAAACAATAATTTGTTATAGTATGCCACATTAATCATAAAAACACAATTTAGGTTGTAACAAAATCAAAATAATAAAAATTTTTTAGGCTTATTACAGAGTAAAAAAAAGTACAGTATTAATATAAAGAAACTGATTGTTCATAAAAGACTCTAAAATAGCACCACTTTAAAATGCAAAATCTGTTTTTACAACAGTAAAAATAAGATACATGCAAAGGTTCTACAGGAAAGTGAGTTAATGCTAGCTAAATTAAAAAAAATTATTTGTAAAGCTATTTCAAATAAGTTGAAATATAGAATTAAAATTTATTTCTTTACTAGAAAAAGCAATATTAATAACTTTTAAAATGAGGGATTTACAATCAGATAGTTTTGATTAATTACATCACTAACTAATGAATGCCATTCAAAAACAAAGGAAATAATTGATTACAATAAATAAATTTGTCATTGTATGTTA